ATAAAAACGAAATTTACAAACAAAAATATGAATAACCTCAAAAAACACACCTGCGAACCTAACGTCAACAACAACTGCGTCACTGCGTGACGTAAAAGCCTTCAAAATGTCCGCGCCCATAACGTCCCTAGAAAAGTGGATGCGCACTCGTCGAAGCTCATTCTCCCCTACTCCATATCTCTGACTTTTTCATTCCAATTACTCCTAAAATGTTATTTGATTTCTCCTGTCATAATGTGAGGTTAGGTTTTCTGAATATGTCGTAAAAAAGATTATTTCCGGCTATGAATTATTTCGTTTGTAGTAATTTATTTTTATTTGGCTCATAATAATAAAAATAAGTATTTAAAAAATAGAACAGTAGAAGTAGAAACTTCAGCAGTGCCAAGACAACTGGAAATCAACTAGCATGGCTTTTCGGGTTTTCAAAAACAGTTGTCAGAAATACATATATTTATTTTTTAATACAAAAAATACTTTTTGAAAATGCAAAGCAGCTGCTAGTGATCCATCCACATACTTCTATATAGAAGTATGTGGATCCATCTGAACTCTGATCTCAGATCATAGAAAACTACTTCCACACTCAATAAATTGGATGTGGGAAATTTGAATTAGCCTTGGCTGCTCCTAGAACAAACAAATGTCGAACCACGAGAAAAAATATCGAAAAAATTAGTTTATTGAAATACATAAATAGTACTAGTATTTAACTACACTCCCATCCAAAGGAAGTTGCCTATACATTCAATATTTACAATTTATTATTTTGTTTTGAGTCAGATTAAATAGTAAATAGCTGTGTTGCCGACTGAATTATCAGGGGAAGTACCTACGTAATCTTTATCATTTGTATTTGTAAGTGTCCTTCCTCATTAAAAGGTTTATCAGTTCGTAGATGCATTTAATGTGATAATACTGCGAATTATATAAGTTAAAAACTTGTAGTGCAACTGTTATACGAGGATATAACCATTTTACGTTGCGAGATATAATTTTGCTGACAGTGACAATCCGTTTTATTCCATCAAAGGTACAGCTAACGACGCAGGCCAATACCATTATTCATGTAAGTAAATCCACGCAAATATTTCTGCGTTAAGAATAACGGAAGAGATAAATAATTTTTTATTTTAATAATATCTGTGGAACGGAGTTAGGAACGTATAGTTTCGATAACTCGTTCCGCCAGAAATAACTTTGATATCTTTAGAACCGCACTCATATTCATGGACGAGGTCTAAAAATACTTTTATTCCAACCTTTTTGTTACACCGGCCAGTTGTACAGTGCATTCACACCGCGTTAGTGCGAATATTCGTGAAAGGATAAATTTCTTTTGTCTGCAGATGTGATATCGTTTAAACAACGCCCGTTGTATTCTGTTGGAGAAAGAAGGCATCGCCAATATGGAGAATAACGTCGAGCAAGAAATTTGCAATAATTGGTAAGTGTACGAGGTAGTACCGAAAATTATTTTTGGGGCGTTAAACTGCGTAGTTTTTTTGTCTGCATTTGAAGTGAAAAAAGGGGGATTTAAAATATTAAACGTTACTTAATAGGTTTCTAAAAATATATATCTAATAACAGATACTAAGTGATAAGCAAAGTCTAATATAAGAAATATGTATTTGTATCGAATTCTACTGAAAATCGGATATTTTTTTGCGTATACTGTATAAAAACTCTTGCCTCGTGACATTTTGATAGCTTTTTAATAAATTCATATTTATTTCTTAAATTCTTATATTTTAAATAGTGGATAACTGCCGTAAAAAATACTTATATTAAAAAATAAAATACATTTTGAAATATTTAAATTTGCCGCTGAATTTAAACTATGTGGCGAATCCGAATATCATCACTCCATCCCCCATCAGACAAAAATTCAATTTACATATAAATACCTGCTACTCATAACTCAGTATTTTATTAGAAAACGAATTCAAGATGTTTTTTTTTATATATTTTTAATTCTCTACTTTTTTTTAATAAATACTCTTGCAGGATGTTTATAAAAGTATAAAAAAGTGATTATTTAATAAATAATGAGTACAAAAAATGTGTTAAGAAAACAGAATATGTGTTGTCTAGGAATTTTTGCAAATTTTTAAAATTGTACCTATCTATTCAGCGAATAGAAAAAACATCCCTAAACACGTTGAGCCTTCTAGGTATAAAACCTTTTATTTTTAAAATTCTAAAAACTAAAATTTAAGTTATCTGAAGTACTTATTATGTATTATCTAAAGGATTTTGAAACAAAAATGATGAGAACTGTGTAGTTATCAATCATTTTTATACGTATAGGTATCAACTTATAATCCTTCAACCATTGTAAGAGCTTTCTAATAAACGATTATTAGAACTTTTCAAAACTTTTAAAATCAAAAGTACTTACAAAGGATTCTACAGTTATACATAACAGAGTTGGTAAATGCGTGTATGTCCCTGTAATGGCGCTGGTTATACACCAAATAGTATTCCTTGTAAAATATTTGTTAATAAACGTTTCGATTATTCAAATTTCGCGCTTCCTCGCAATATAACCTCAAATTCTTTGAAAGCACTTTCTTCTTCTTTCTCTCTGGTACGCAAAACGGAGGACGAAGAAAATGACGCGTCACAAACAAAAAGGGTTTTTTGGCGAGAAAACCGCTAACCCGGTTAACTATAGTTTGTTGAGGTTTGACGTTTTGGCGAGAAATGTAGTTAACCCGGTTTGGCAGAGTTTGCCTAACCATCAAACCGGACTTGTGGGTTGGTTTGGATATTAAGTTAATATTTCTATCTTTGTTTATTTATTTTCTGTTTCGTACCATCGTACCTAGTCACTACTTCGTTTTTTTAGAGGTTTGGATAGGTATAAGTTGTAAATAAAAAAAAATTGATAATGGATTAACTTTGCAAAAAATACAAAGTAAAATAGTAATCGAGGATCCCAATAACTTTAATCGTAGATATGCATATTCTATATTGTACTGTATAGATCTTTATTAACTTCCTTTTTGACGATACATTTACGTGGGAATAGATATTTGTGAAAAGGTAAACCCATTTAGATTTAATAACCATCTATACAATAAAGTTATTTCATGGATGTGCATTTCAGATTAGGAATAACAATTATAGTATATAAGAAATAATCAAACAACTTGATCTACGAGCACTATCATAGATTACAGGTTACGATTTTATTATTGATTAGATATCCAAACCAAAAGAATTTTTGCGAGTTCTGTCAAATGTTAACTCAAACACTTAATCAAACACGAGCTAACCGGGTTTGATGTGGTTTGGCTCGCCAAAAAACCCTTAATGTTCGATAAACAAACAAAATAAATCAAAAACTGAAACAGACATAACCCTAAATTTTGCAGACACTTTCATAAACATTCAAACATTGGCAAAAATGGATTTTGAATTGTCTCATTTTATATTTCTTATACCGCGGCAGGTTAATGAACGATTTGGAGATGAGAAAGCAAAAAGCTTGTAGAAAATAATCTACTTTTATGAGAAGCCAATTTTTGTAATTTCCCTGAAAAACAAAAATATTTTTCGAAGTAGTTGGACGCACCTGCTGTTTTTTTAACTTTTTTCACAATGTTTCTTTTATAATTTAAGGTATTCATTTTTGTAAGTCACATTATAAGTGTAGTCTTAAGAAATTTTAAAATAAACACATTTCGGCACAGCTGTTGATGCAATATGCCAAGTAGGTTGAAAGAGTTAATGTTCTAGTTAGGTGACAAATAATCGTGTTTCTACTAACTTCCTATACTATTGCACATTACTACCAGTTCCAAAGTACTGAAATTGTTACATTAAATTACCTTTTACCTTACGAAAAGCTTTGAATATATCACGGTGTTTGTTGAGATGTGTGTGACTTATTTTTAACTTAATCGGGGGATTTTTTATTAAATGATCATTCATAAAACACATCAATTGACACGTGCAATTTTACAGCAAGAAGGAAATCCCACAAACCAACTATGTCATGCACTCCATGCACTGTGCGAGAAATATTACATTATGTAAAGTGTGCAAAGAGGGTATACCCAAATCGCAGTTCGAAGACCATCAAAAAACCTGTTTCAAACGCAGAGTAGAGGTAAGACCCCCACCGCCACCCACAAACTTAGAAAGAAGCAACTACTTCCAAGAACGGAAGGCCGTAGAGGACAGAAAAATCGAAGCGAGAAAAGAAAGATACGTACAAAAGTACGACAGATTAGTTGACACTGGATACAGTTTGCAAGATAGTTCTTACAGAACAGCCAGGCCTAATTCCATTGACAGACCTATGGGTACTTACGGTTATACCAAGTCACCGAGTAGTAGTTATCTCGATTCTAGTTCTATTCGACAAAATGGCACGTTAAGCTCAGCTAAAATAGACGTTAATAGAGAAGAAACGACGCCTAAAGTAACACCAACTGTAGCCGCTCCAGAACCTGTGAAGAAACCAGAAGCCAAGCCTTCTGGATTGTTGGCATGTAAATACTGCGACCTTGAACTACCAAAGTTAGAATTAGAAGATCACGAGAACTACTGCGGATCTAGGACCGACAAGTGCCTGGAATGCGGAGAACTAGTTATGTACAAATACAAACAGATTCACATGGATTCTAACCACGGATTTTTGAAACTCAAAGATGGTGAGTACCTGAATTCGATGTACAGGGTGCTCAGAAAATAGCCTACAATGTTTACATTTTAAGAGCTTAAAATATTTTTCAGTTTTTATTTTTGATATTTGATGATGTGAAAGTATATTAAGTCTTATAGCCTTGGTGTCATTTTTCGCTTAAGTTTGTACAAACTTTCTCTTATTTTTGCTGGTAAATCATTTCAAGTTAATTTTGGAACACCCCTAAAAATGTCTTTACATATTTTGCGTATTATTATTGAAATTACTGTATTTGTGTATTTTAGAACCAGGTCCTAGAGCCTCATGGGACTCAACCACACAACGCTCCGCTAGCACCAATTCAATAGAAACTTCCATTAGAAGAAGACCGCAGCCTCTCAGATCGTTTGCTGATTTCGACTATGATCCCATGCCTTATCTACCGTCGAGTTACTCGATTCCAGGCGGGGGCACAAAGAAAAAGGAAGGAGAGAGCTACAAAGAAATATCCAGAAGACTTGATTGTGAGTGTATTTAAAGCTTAGTTAAATAAAATTCTAAAGCAATCACAGTTTTAGCGACTGCCAAATCTACTTCTCATAATATACTTAGATATGCTTACAATCTATTGTTCATAAAATTTGTAGACGTTTGGAATTGGTAACAGTCCATTACTTGTCGAAAACATCTCACTTAACATTATTAATTTGTACTTCACTGTTAACACCAAAGATACAGAGCAATTTTATATGGAAAAAGTTCTTGTTAACATAAAAAATACCATGTCCTGCTGAACTTCATACAATTGCTCTGTTGTAAATCAATAACGAGACAGTGTTCCATTATTATTCTTTACTAAAATTTTGCTATTACTTTAAACCGACATGCCTTCTTCCTGCAATCATTCTTATACCATAATTCTAATGTGTTAATATGGAAACACAATCACTTAACGAATTTAAAATACAACTATTTCGTAAAAATTTAATATAAAATAGGATTTACGTAACGTTATTTTTATTTTTAAATTACTTCTCATGATTTATTCGTTTTAATTTGGCTTTCATTTTGGATTTTTCTTAGGTAAAACAGAATATATAAGGAACCTACTACATGATTCGGCGGGTATCACAGTACCACTAAGGCGAAATGGGGCAGTGCCAAGAAATCATTTCAATCATAATAAAGGTTCATACAACGCTCGCATGATAACAAGCTTTTCGTTTGGCAGTTTTTCAGCGCATCATTGAGAAAACTCACGTAGGAAAATAGCTGCTTTTGCGATAACTTATATTCCGGAGTAAAAACAAAAGCAACCATCTTCCCTGTGAGCAAAAAAAAGTTTAATAACCATCGACGCTGCTTCTGTTTACGTACTAAAATTAGTGTGCTTTATTTCTGAGACACAAGGCAATTACTAAGGTTATACACTTTTTCTTGACCTCTTTATTGGATATAGAAAAAAAATATGTTAGTTTATATATAATAATAATTTCTTAAAAATGTGCGAGAACGTTTTGGAATGATATGTTGGTCTGACATTCATTTGGCATGTTGCCCGCGTAGGTTTGTGAATTTTTAGACCGACGTATATAATTTCGCCAGTCTACGAAAACTAACATTTGTTTTATTTGTTAATAAAATCGTATGTCAAAACGATTCATCGTGTTTATAAATAGATCGTGACATATAAATTTTCGCTTAAACGTTTTACTACCATAAACAGATAAATATGTATGTCAAATTACTACCCAAAACCAAACTAAAATACACAAATGTCGTTTTCAATATACTGAGTGTCCAAAGATGACCATAGTCTTATTTTCCCATTAAACAGTATTTTCGTTTCCTATTTTTTTTAATATTGGAAATTTGTTGTCCATAACTGACAACTAACAGTGGTAAAAAATGAGTTTTTTAATGCTACAAATTAATTATAGATGTTTAAAATTGTTAGTATAAATTTCATCACCTTATTAAGAACGCTTGGTGACGAATGTCATTTAGTGCGACCAAAAACACAACCTGCTTCTCACTCGTCTGCTTTCTAGTCTATAATTCCCATGCACATGAGGAAAGCCTTGAAGAAAAATGCGTAGTGAATTTGAGTGTCTCAAGACTATTGTTACTTACTATGCTCGAGCTGTTGAACTGTTCTTTCCCTGTTAATCGTCTTCTTGAACACACTAAATGATGTCACGATTAGGACGGCAGCAAACACCCGTCTAAAACATTTATCCTGTGCGCCAATCTTTCATAATTAATTATTATCAACCTAATTTCTTCATTTCTTCATTAATTCATTAATTTATTTGATTGTGTAAAACCGATATAAAAAGGATAAATTGTTACATGTCACTGTTGCTCAATGCCTATGAAAGCAATTAATTATTAAAGTTTTAAGTATTTTAAATGGGTGTTTGTTGCAGCTCCAATCGTGACGTCATTTAATGCGATGAAGAATCGGGAGATGATGAATGATGTCGCATTAAAAGATGTCCTAATGCTTTCTTGATCATGTGACAAAATTTAAATTTTTACATAATTTTAAACACGTATAATTATAGCCCGGGAGGCAGCGACACTATTGATGTATTTATTCCTACAAAGCTCATTTTTTCTCATTTTGTGTTTTGATATCGCAAGTAAACGGAACGGCAGTCTACCACGCCAATGTGGGGGCAAATATTAGTAACAATGTTTGAAACATGTAAATAAATAATACGTAAATGTCTTATATCTACAAGTGTGAAACTTTTTAGAGTGATCAGTTATACCTAGAAATACAGTATAATAATAATCTACCGCGTCGGAAGCGGGGCCATCAAGGGTCTACCACTCAGGGAAGGTGTTTCAAGGTGTTGAAAAATTTACTTTTTTGACTTATTTCTACAAGGCTGAATTTTTTTTCTCGAATACTTTACTTTATAAGAGAACCAAAGAAAACAATCTAAATCCTTAAAATAAACACAAACCTAACTACCATTAGTGAGTTGTACTAAATTGGCAAACAAAAAGGCGGAATGTTATCTATTTGTTTTTTCATAGTTATTGATATTTTTTTTTCTTAGTACTTTGTTTCCAATTTTATTGTAAAGTACCAGGTTTCAGCATATTCTGTTTTTTTTTGTACCAATTAGTATTTACTGCTAATCCAAAGTCGATAACCCTGGTGCTAGCTGCTCACCAGTGTGGCTTTGGTAAGCGTCATGGATATAAATTATAAGTAAAAGATAAATAAATTAAGTTAAAAAAAGGTGTTATTTGAAAAAAAAATTATTTTCAATTTTTATTAATTTTATAATAGCAAAAATCTCGCTCGCGAACACTCGCTCGTTATTACTAATATCGTACGTTTTAATAATGGTGCAAACTCAAAAAATTATAATTATTTAAATTAGGAATTTTAAACATCCTCGTGCTCAAAAATTTTAGCCACGTCTACCGAAACTTTAGCCAATTTGTATCGAAGGTAGAAAACGTTTATTTGACGATAATTATCGTAAACTACTTATAGACAAAAAAAACAGCTTTGTAGATCTTAATTTAATCCCGACATGACCAATTAATAGTTATTCAGAGCGATTTACAGCAGATTGGCAGAGCGACTGCCCTCGGGAGATCGTGCATTCCATTGCGTCTATCAAGACTTTGCATCCTTAGATGATCGGTAAACTGTTTTCTTTGGTTCTCTTATAAAGTAAAGTATTCGAGAAAAAAAAAAATTTAGCCTTGTAGAAATAAGTCAAAAAAGTTAATTTTTCAACACCTTGCATACTGTATTTTTGGTACAATTGATCACTCTAAAAAGTTTCACACTTGTAGTATAAGACATTTACGTATTATTTATTTACATGTTTCAAACACTTTTACTAATGTTTGCCCCCACATTGACGTGGTAGACTGCCGTTCCGTTTACTTGCGATATCAAAACAGCAAAATGAGAAAAAATCGGCTTTGTAGGAATTGGTGCAAAATTTCTGTCGCTGCCTCCCGGACTATTACCTTGAAGCATTAAAAATATGAGTTTCTTTACCACTGCTGTTGGTTATGAACTACAAATTTATGCAATTCTAAAAGAAATTAAATTTTGCATGCACCAATTTAGAGAAAAAAATATTTCAATTTTCTATTGCTGTGAGTTGCAGAGCTAAACAGTTTGGGATATCCTAGTCTAATTAAACTTGATTTATTTTTAGTTTTTGCTAAATCTGTAGCGATATAGTGTATATTTTATACAATTTATATTAACTTCTCTTCAAATATAAGTGTTATAGAATATAAAAAGCGTTCATAAATGTTTACAAGCCACGTGACCGCCAAGGATAGGCAATCCAACATTGCAAGGTTGGTACCGGTAACAAAAATTTCATAAATCTTGACGTCACAAATATTAATGATTTGTTTACAATGAACAATGACGAACCGTTATGTCTACGCTCGGGATAATGCGATCGCTTATTGGTTGAATAAAATCTCGTGAAAAATTACACTCATCACAGCCGATGAAACAAAATATTTTCACAAGAATCTTTGAAAATACTGAAAACATAAAATATCTGGTTCGTTTATGCTTGATGAAAGTTCTCCAGAAATAAATTATAAAAAATTTTGTAAAAATGTCATGTTTAATTATATTGAAATATACCCAAATATTCGTCTCTCTATAATTGATAGCAATGCCAAGAAAATCGATTAACTTTTCTCTGAAATAATGCATTTCAGCAACTGTGAACAGCTCATAAATATGTGGCAAAAAATGAAAGACTATTTCTGGTATTGTTAGTGACCACTATATTTTAATAAAGCATAATTTCATCCATCTTTGACTACCTCAAAAATCACTTCCCAAATTTCATTGAAATATCTTTAAAAATTATGAATTTATATCAGGAAATTAAAAAAAAAATTTTTTTAAGACAACTTTTTAAGGAAACAATTGTAATAATAGGTAACCTATTCTAAATCTATTTATGTCGACCACCGCGTGTAAAATTTATTTCAAAATTTGCAAAAATTATATATAAATGTAAACCGAGTCATAAGCAATTACCAACAATATTTATTATTTATTATCGTGAAAAACTGTCGGTAGCTTAAAACCCTACATGTTGTGTATTAAAAGAAGTTTAAGAAATTAACACGAGCGGTTCTAGGTCCGGCCCCTCAACCTCCTACATACAGAAGGAAGAATCCCCCCACAGAATTGGTGATTCCGTGCGAATTTTGCGGGGTACCAGTGCCACACGAAGACTTGATAGAACACGAGACTGGTTGTCGCCCGGACTTAGCCAGGTTCAACCCTCGCAGAAGATCGCCCGAACCTGACGATTACTTTATTGCGCCTCAACCCACTTCTCCCGAAGTTGAATTGCCCTGTGAGTTTTGCGGAGATATGATACCCGCATCTCAGCTGTTGGGGCACCAAGTACGATGCACTTAAATTATATCTTTTATTTTTTATAATAGCCTTTAATCAAGTAGGTGTATACTTTAATATGTACATTACAATTTTCTGTAATGTCTGTGAGATAATCGTATAAGCATTATGAACTGTATATTATTACCGTTAGTTAATTTTTAAACTTGCTCTTTGCTCACCATGTACATTTATCTTTCTAATACAATAAAATATAAGGGCCTTGTTCTTTAGTAAGGAAATAATTGTTTCATTAACTGTTTGTGTATGAATAGTTAAGTTACTAGTAGTGTAACCGTATCGTTTTTTATCCTGTTTGTTTTATGATATATTGTAATAAAAATTTAAACGACGAGTATTTCTCTTACATTCTACATTCTTACCTTACATATTTTAAGCAGGTAATTCACTAAATTAATAATTCACATCTTAAAAACTCCGTTCATAAACGAATTTTTAAATATAACCCCAAAAATTAATTAACATAACCACACATACCTGTGTAGAAAAACAAAACCAGAGAACACCAGACCAACAGTGTTCTCAAAACGTATAATACAATGGCTGTATTTGTTTTACACCCTTGGTCATTTTGGTTGATTCACTTTCGGTAGATTTCTGACAAAACCGCTGATAATGGATATGGATCAGAGATATGGAGTAGGGGAGAATCAGCTTCGACGAGTGCGCATCCACTTTTCTAGGGACGCTACGGGCGCAGACATTTTGAAGGCTTTTACGTCACGCAGTGACGCAGTTGCTGACGTTAGGTTCGCAGGTGTGTTTTTTGAGGTTATTCATATTTTTGTTTGTAAATTTCGTTNCTCATTAAACACTGCTCAAATATCTATATTTCTTTAATTTTCTCAACAATACTACACATACATTATTACATTATAAACGACGCCATGTTGTCTTCTCTATTACCATTGAACACTGACTTAAGAGTACATCACGGATCACACAATAACAGAGCTGTAACAATATTGTCAGTCTTAGTTCGTCAGGTGTTGCGGGGGGGGATTATGTCATTGTCTGGCTCTCTGTCGACGCGTCGGGCCCAGAGATATAGAGTAGGGGAGAATGAGCTTCGACGAGTGCGCATCCACTTTTCTAGCGACGCTACGGGCGCAGCCATTTTGAAGGCTTTTACGTCACGCAGTGACGAAGTTGTTGACGTTAGGTTCGCAGGTGTGTTTTTTGAGGTTATTTATATTTTTGTTTATAAATTTCGTTTTTATTGAACTTTAAATATGTCTTGTGCTTTGTGCTGTGAAAGGAAGCGCAAATTGCAGAAGATGTCCAATACAAAACATCAGTTTTCATGTGTAAGTACAGAACATTTCTAAATATTTAGCTAGCTCTACACAAAAATAAGATATTTCCACTTTTTATTCTAAATTTTTATTGTAAACATGTAATGTTTTTATTTTTAGCTTTCCTAGAAATGAAACTTTACAGAAGGAGTGGCTAAAGGTTCTTTATATCGAAAAAGAAAATTGGGTATGGACAAAAAATAACATAATTTGCTCTGAACACTAAAGCGGATGATTTTGTCCCCTTTTGTGGAAGAAAAATAGTACGACCCAACTCTGCACCTTCCATAAAATTATTTTGCGGTGTATCTTCTTCCAATTTAAGCAAGAGTACTTTATCGAGTTCAATTAATACAGGAGCTTTGATGAACAAATTGATGTTACAATCAAGTGAATCATCTTTCACCTATAACGTTACTGAAGTTCGAGTAGGTACAACGTAAAAAGAAGAGACAACTGAATTTAAGGTAATAAAGATTTGTAATTTAAAAATAGTAGTAATGCTAAGGATGTTAAATACGTACCCTGCCAAATTGTTTGATACGGACCTAATAAATTAAGAAATAATATTTACAGTAATTTTATTTTCAGTGTTTAGAATACATCAAATGATAACACTAGTACTGATAGCAGTGGTAAGAAGAGAATTATGGCAATGAAAACATACTTTAATGGATAACTTTAATAATGAAAGACAGGAAACTTACCGTTCAGTCTTTACGAAAAGAAATTAAGGACGGATTATTCAAGGCCCTACATTAAGACAAAAATTAAATAATTATTTTCAACCATCAGTAAATAAATATGTTACGTTATACAGTGTTTTATTTTAATATACAAAATATTTAGGAACTACTTCACAATTTTTTTTTATTTCGTATAAATTGAGTACCTACCGCAATCTGTTAAAGTTTATCGTATCAAAAATATATTATTATTGGTGTGATTAATATTCTCTGTTGAACCTTCTGTGAAACAAGATAGCTATAACATAATTAAAGTATCATTCAATTAATTCAATGTAAAAGATAAGCACAATGTAGTGGAGTATGTGCAGATTTATACATATAATAATAATGTTTCATTTCATTTCAATAAAGTTACAAAAGAGTAATAACAAGATCAGTAATACCAATAACAATAAGAATATTACAGATATTAAGAATAAACGTAGTACACCCACTATAGGCATAGCCTGTGCATGAGGAAGGTAAAAAAAAGAGACATAAAACCTAACGAACAAATAGGATTAATTTTAACATAATAACAACAAGATTATATACAGTCTACACATTAATTAATAGTATTATAAGATACAATTTACACCATAACATGAAATATACATAAGAACACGAACATATTAAGCAAATACTGAATAATTAATTGATTTAAGTTCCACAGCATCATGGATATCCTTTCTAGCAACAGAGAAAAAGTTTTTTAGCGCTTTTTTAAATGTAAGTGTAAATCTCATGGACTGTATTTTATCTGGCAATAAGGCATATAACCTCGGACCAAGGTAAGTATGACTTTTTTGTCCTATGCTTTTATTTTTTCTTTGAGTTACAAACATTTTACCTTTGTTTCTTGTTTCATATTTATGTTCGCTGACTATTAATTGACTTTTATTTTTGTGTTGATGTGTAGTTAGGAAATAGAAGAATAGTTGCTGTAGGTCCATCAAACACGCTTCAATAAAAAGATCATCCGAAGGGTAATATATATACGATAGGTAATAATATCCTATGCAGTTATGATACAACTCTAGCCGTTCTTGGGTAATATAGTATTTAATATATTTTTTATGAAGTGCATATATGAAAATTGAAATTTTTATTATATAATAAATATTCAGATATACCTAGAAAATTATGAAAAATAATTCATATGTAATTAAAAATTTCAAAAGTACGTATTTGTTAGTTCATATTTCATTTCAAAATTTAATGTAAAGTTATGTGCGTTTCTAATTAGAAATTTTAGAACTGACCTGGTAATATAATATAGTACCCCCTCGTATCTAAGCCTTCAAAATGGCGACCTCCTTTATTAACAAGTTTGCGCATCTTGACGCTCATTCTCCCTACTCCATATCTCTGGTCGGGCCGCTATTTCGAATGCCTCGTCTTCGTCGGGCACTGGCTGACGGTAAGCATGGAGACTACACATCTCCCTGACCGTAAGGGTCTTGTTTCACCCAGTTCAATACGTTACTAAAGAGGACGAAGAAGAAAAGAAACCGTGTAAACTGTAAAATTGAAAAAGAAATTATAACCTAAAATTCTAATACCTATTTAATATTTTACTTGCGACAGAAAATAATATGGAAAGAGAACTAGAACAATTAAATAGTGCTTTAAATTCTGTAAAAACTTTGAGGTCAAATGTAAGACGTGTATTTGAGTCGGTAAGCAATGGTTTGAGAGGTGATCATGGTGATGAGGGCAAAGAAAATAAATTTATTCTTGAACTTCAAGAACTGCTAACAACAGTTAATAATAATTTGAGGTATAAGGGTTGATTAAAAGTCGCACTGCATAATATGTTAATGAATGCTTTTCAGAGATGTAGAAAATTCAGTGTCTAATCTCACTCCGCCACCTGGAGCTTTCAATTTAGGAAACACTGCATATTTAAGCCAAGAGACAACGCAAGAAAGACAAGCTCTTTATGGACAGTTAGTAAATAGTTATAAGTGGACAGATAAAGTAAGTTGGACAATATAAACAGTGTAATTTGATCATTTAAACTGATAAATTTGAGAATTCATAAAAGCTAAATGAAATAAATAACTTTTGCTGCAAACTCATAGTTAATTTAAACACAACTGCAAGATATTCAAGAAAAAAACTAAATTAGCTTACTTGTGAATGCTAGCTGTAACATATAACTTCCATTACCTTATGTTCTAATCAGAATTATTATTTATAATAACGAAACTATTATTTTCATTTTAGATAAGGGAATATAGTGCTTTAGCGGGAAATATACTTGCAACAAACTCCTTCAATAAAACATATAAAACTTTCAGTACAACTAAACGTAGAAAAACTCAAAGCAGTAATCATAATGTGCCCCCAGAGTAAGTTTAGTATATGAATAATGCAATATTTAATAATGAAATTATTGTAGGGTTATTGAAAACTTAATTACAAGTATCGATAGGCTTTTCACAGATGTGACAATTACCACAAATCGCCCATTTGTTCCAAATCCAGTTATACAGGTATTTTACTTATAATCTGTATAATTTAATGGTAAATAGTAATAACATGTTTTATGTTTATAGGCGTCCTTAGGAAGAGTTTTAAAAGCCATCATAGCATTTAAAGGACTAATGATAGAATGGGTGGTAATAAAAGCCCATGCTGAATCTAATGATATATGGACAGAATCTCGTTATAAAGTTTTTAGGAAAGTCACTGAAAATTGTCATGCTGCTATGTGTCATTTTCATTCTCCAATGATGCCTGAACTTGCAGTACGATCTTTCATGGTAATATATTTAACTCAATGTTAAACATTGTTTTAATTTTTTTAGAAATAATAATAGTTTTAACATTATTTAAAAATTTGTACAATTTAATTTAATTTTAAAAAATAATCATTGTGTAAATATATTTGATGCATAAAGAAACCAAATTTTCAAAAAAAAAATACCCTAGTGCCAAAAAGATTGGGAAACTATTGCCTAACAAAAATCGCACATTGAAAATGCCAATTCAAAAAAGAATCTAATTTTGAAACTTAAAAATCTCTCTCTTAGGGTTGTGATCAGCATTGCCAGATGTCCCGATTTTGGTGGGACGTCCCGATTTTTAGCCAGAAATTAAATGTCCCGTGCGGAACCGGTTCAGTCCCGCTTTTCGGCGATTACTCGACGGCGCGGTAATTAGTATAGTAAAGTAACGTATTTTCATTAAAATATATTTTCTTTGGCAATTTTGAAACTCAAATAAAAGGATAAGTAGTTAAAAACTATTGATTACATACGTTTTTTAAATATCTCCCGCTTTGCTTGAAAAAAAATCTGGTTGTGATAGATAGTTAAGTATATTTTTTAAAGTAAGAACATCATTTTCACACATAAATTAAATGATGTAACAATGTGTTTTTGTAATTTATTTATCAACTTTTTTCAATATGAATAAGCAAAAATAATCCCAAGTAGGGCTGCCACCTTTCAAAGATAGCAAACCCGGAGTTTTTGAAAAATCGCTATTTTTATGAAATAAAACATTTTTTTGAGATAAGTAAGTAGGTATTATTTATTTATTGTTTAATAAGCCAGTAATTTACATTATATTGTGGTTCTAGGACCAGCTCGATTTTTAAAATCATATTTTTTATTTGTAAGAGCGTAAAGCAACTTTTTTGCTCAGGTTTTTCAAAAATTTAAAAAATTCCTGGCATTTTTTAATTAATTTTTACCATTAATTCCGATTTTACCATGTCGACTGACAATCAGTTTCACTTGTCTATCCATAAATTTCCCATCAAGAAAAAAACACGTTCTATAAAAGCATTATTTACGGGGATTAACAAAATTTTTCCTATTATTTTCGGGAATTCTGTGAAGTTTGTGACTGAATAATTGACCCCATAATAAATCTACTGACAATGTTGAAAAATTGGATTGTTGAAACTGAGGATATATTTGCTTCAATTTAATGGTCTCATCATAAAGTTGATCCTCGTCTACATTTTTTAAACCAAGTTCCATAATTAGCTCAGTAAAATTTCAGTAAAACGCACTAAAATTTTTATTGAGGGGAACTGAGAAACTAATAGTAAATGATTGCTCCAAAAGTTCGAAATTTGTTAACTAACAACCTTACTGATTGACCACACATCAACAGCTGATACAAAATACGGTGTGTGTTCATTCTTCACTAGGTTTGTTCACTGATTTCCCTAGCAGGTTGCCGACTTTTCTTAACAAAAATATTTAATGCGTTTTATTCAAATTCTACTGAAGCTAATTACAGAACGGACCCAAGTGATAGCTTCTACAGCATATTCATAAGTTATTGCACTTTTCAGATCGAACTTTGAAAATATTTTGAATATAGAACTCTTCGCTCGCTGCCCGGATATATCGATGTTAAATCCATAGCCCCTATATGTACCATACAAACCCGGAGGGGTGGCAGTCCAATATAAAATCCCAAATTCCATAGGTCCGAATGGAATCCCTGTATTGAGAGAGTACCCCAATTGACTTTTCCACTGTTTCTGTTAGTAGATAACATCTCTTATCAGGGCATTAATTTTGTTAGGTTTTAATGAAGAAAAACCTGCAACTGACACATTTTCTTAATTTTTTCTAAGGAGTAAATAAAAACAAATTCAAAAGAAGTTGTATTGCTGTCAGAATTTAAATTTTAACTGGAATGTGTGTTTTCCAAATCTGAGATAATTAAAAAAAAAATTGAATTTTTTTACCAATCTAATGTATTTTTTTTAATCATAACGGCGGTTTGCTGTACTTTTTCAATACTCTCCTTATACCTTTCTTATTAAGTATATGATATGTAAATTATTATTTTTTTTTAGCATTGGTTTCATAGTTATAATACATTATTCAATGCTCCATGCAAAAGATGTGGAAATCATTTACATAGCAACTTACCACCCACCTGGAGAGATTTGCGAACCTTAGAACCATATCATGAAGAATGCAAATAGTAATAATTATTTTTAATGTAGAGATGTTATAATTAAGAATAATAAAAATTGATATGAAGAAAATGTTCTTAATTCAAAAACTTACCCATTTCTCATTCCAATTTCTTTCATTTTAAAATTTATATACTTGCTAAATGTTGAGATCATTTTTTATATGTAATAACACTAATCAAAAATTAATGCAGTCAACCTACCTACTTTTTTTCAAATTATGAAATATATTTTTTATAACTAAATACTTTTTCATCTGGATAAAGCTAATTAGCTCACTGAATTAAACAATTAACAACTGTATTTAGAAATATTTAGCATTATTATGCCGAAATTAATTACACAGCATATAAAATTAATGGAAAATTGTTTAATGTTTCTGCAAATCCTAAGATATATAGGGTGTGCCATTTAACACTCTCACTGCCAATATCTCCAAAGGCAAGAAATTTATTTTAATTCTGTAAACTGGAGTTGTTAGGTCCCTCGAATAGCTTCAAATTGCAGTTAGAATTGTTAATTCAAATCTTTCTTTATACGGCATAGTGGTACTAACAAATTTTTTGATCCCTGAAATATGGAAATGTGGTCCATCTGAAAGATCGTTAAATTTTGAGTAATTTTTGTAATATAAAATTTTTTCCAATACCTATTTACTTGTTTTAGAGACATGACTTTGACATGCAATGCATGATGTAACAGAAAAATCTATTACTTTATTTAAACCACATTGAGACAAATATTCTTTCAAAATATTGTTATAATGGCTTTATTCACACCACATACTAACAAAAAACAATAAATTATAAAAAAAAAACGATCAACAACAGAAAAAAAAATTGTACAATGGTAAATTGGTAAATCTTATAAGGGGCAGAGATGAACCGTATTTTATCAAATATTAAAAAATTCAGTCCTAAGTGGCTCATGTCATTTGTTATTATGTGGTGTTCATAAAGCCATCATAACAATATTTTAAAAGAATATTTTGTCTCACAATAAGTGTGATTTAATAAAATAATAGATTTTCTTGTTACATCATACATTGCATAGTGAAGTCGACATGTCTTGAAAACAAGTAAATATTGGGAAAAACATTATATTACAAAAATTACTCAACATTTAACGATGTTTCAGAAGAGCCGCATTTCCAGGTTTCAGAGATCAAACAATTTTTTAGTATCGCCACCCCATCTATACAGAGAGACTTGAACTAACAATTCTAACTGCAATTTGAAGCTATTCGAGGGACCTAACAACCCCAGTTTCTGGAACTAAAATAGATTTCTTCATTTTAGAGATATTGGCAGTGGGAGTGTTAAATGGAACACCCTTTATAGTAATCTACATTTTAAGTTTTTTCTGACTAGGAATATACATAATTTTTTAAACTAGAATGTCAGAACATCTCATATTTTTACATTTTGTGTAGGTAGTTTTCTGTTGTATTGCTTCAGGTTTTCATGGATTTGTAAATAAAAAATGGTAAAATTTTTTAGGGAAATATTTCTAAGCCTACAATTTTGGTGATGAAAAAAATTTAATGGCTACAACCTACAAATTAAAATAAAGACAAGTGACCCTGAGATCTCAGAAAAGGTTGCACATATGCAAGACATCCCACTCCTCAGGTAGAAATAAATAAAAAATATTATGTATTAACTTTAGTCCTGAAATTCACTGCTTTTAAGATACGGGCCTTTAAATTTTTTGAAGACGATTTTTTTTAATATTTTAAGAACGTTTGATTATACATACATTAGCGGCTCACACATTCATAGTTTTTTAGGTGTTCTCCGGATGATAGATTTGAGCTGTCGAGAACTTTTGACACGTTGAAAGTTTTTAAATTATTTGTATGAACTAATATAATTAATAGATATAGCTACCTTTCTAATACTAACGTTTAAATTTATTTGATTTTATTTTGGGTAACGCAAACACAAATGTGACACTCTATTATTTATTAAGTTATTTTATTATAAAAAGTAAAAGGAAGCGTAAAACTCGTTCCACATGGATAAAAAAAATAGTTACAAGAAATGAAACAAACCATTTATCGCTCTTAAATTTCAATTTGTAACATGGACAAAAATTTTTATTTCCGCTTACGTTCAGCAGCGTCTCCAGCTTCCAGCTTCACACCACAGGGACGGTCGGCCAAATCAGCCCTCGAGCATCGGCAACTATTTTTGGCTGGGTTATCCGCACTTAGGGATCTGTAGAAACGGCTTAGCAAGACAGATTCAAAAGTTGGTTTGTAAGGTGTTGATTATTTTAACCCTTTACAAAAATACTTAAGGGTTGAAAAAATTTGAAGAGTAGTTTTTTTGACATAATGTTCACCAAGTTTCGTTTCTTTAGCTTGATATACAGATTCGGAAAGTTCCCATGGTTCATCGGCCGTTACGTGAGTGCGATAAAGTAAGTCATAGAAATCCGTGCGATGGAGAAGAATGGCTATAATGAAGGCGTCTTATAGTCACCGCCCGTTTCGCCTTCCACAAATAAGATCAACTTCCACTTGTAATTCAGCGACCGGTGGTCATCTTTGTTTTCGTCGTTTGGCTTTTCTTTAATAGATGTCACTACTTATACAATTGCGACTTCGGTGTATTATTCCGATATGTTAATACAATCCGTTAACAGAGGGCAGCACAACGCGTAACAAAGAAAACTTTTTACAGTAGCTAGTAGATACCTCTGTTTGTAAATCTAGTGACTTTGTTGCCCCTACTGAGAAGTTATTCGAATGGAGCATAGTGCTCAGCTGCATTTAAAGTTCATTTAGTTGTTATTTAAGTATACTTTGCCCCCTGTTAACGGATTGTATTAACATATCGGAAAACTGGAGTCGGAATTGTATAAGTAGTGACATCTATTAAAGAAAATCCAAACGACGAAAACAAAGATGACCACCGGTCGCTGATGAATTACAAGTGGAAGTGGATCTTATTTGTGGAAGGGCGAAATGGGCGGTGACTATTAGACGCCTTCATTATAGCCATCTTTCTTTATCACACGGATTTCTATGACTTACTTTATCGCTCTCACGTAACAGCCGATATACCATGAGGACTTTCCGACCCTGCATTTTTTTTTTTATTTTTGGGTGGGCGTAACTTTTCAGGGGAGTTTTTTCAGAAAATTTTATATCAAGGACCCCTATTAATTTTCATCAGAGAATCGGCCCTTACATTTTTCGGTGTTATTTAGATACACCCTATATAATGAATAGACCACGGCAAAATTCGCGGCATACAGTGAAAATAATAATTTTCAAAGATTTTGTCAATAGATACCCTTTAACATTATGACGCAAAATGTAATTACACCAATTATTAGGGGGATTAAGAACCCTTTATTCGAGAATAGAGTCAAATCAAAAAGTGTTTAGGTTTTGAAATTTCATGTCGGCAAGTCATTGATTGCGTGATCTTTTTTTTAAACGTGTTTAGGCTAGGTTTTAAAATTTCATATCGTTATTTTAAAAAAAGGGGCCTCCGTACAGCTCGTAGCCCCGGGCCTCATCAATCATCATACGTAAATCCGGCCATGCATCACGCAAATAATATATTACCTACATTAATGTGGTTCTATAAATCTCTATAACTTAGATCTTAGATATGTATAAAAGTCAATATAAAAAAAGATTGCAAAGTAAACTATAATCAGTTCTTCAAATTAATAATTTTAGTAGATATATTTCAATTATTTATTTATCACGTACATTTAATACACTTTCCTGCACCAGTAAAAAATTCTTATTACGGCCCTGAGGTCCTGATCAGCGCTTCTCCATCCAAGGACACCGAATCGTTAGAATAGAGATCAAAGTGCCGACAAAGGAGTGAAATTGCTGTTTACATATGCCATAGACAATAATATAGCTGTCATGTCGCTCCTATTTTGTCTGTGCATATATTGTGCCAGTGCTATGAAATATTGCTTTATCAATAAAGACTAAAAAGTACACAATTAAACAGCTGTTGATTATTTATTACTCTTCTGGCCCATTCATAAAACTCTTCAAATTCGACATACTATGATATAGATAATAATAACGAATAGTTTTGAGAACTCTATGTACCTACTGTGCTGCACATCCTCCAATTTCTCAATATGGGAAATTTAAAAACATGGTCTTAAAAATTAAGCATTGCCCCCAAACTTAATGATTATTCAAAATAATTCAACTGCAGCGCATTTTAAGGTTTAAAAAATATGTCTAAAGTAAGAAAAGGGCCATACATTTTTACAAAATATATAATTTTGAGTCGATGAGTCTTTGAGAAACTATTAAAACGTAAATGCAAGAAAACTACGTATCTAGTAATTATATAACGATCCTCTAATTACTACCTTAGGTACTACATAAGCCAACACATTTTTCCTTTTCTAAAGTTGACCCACTGACAAAAGTAGGTCCAGTGTGCAACTGAAACGGAATACGTTATACGTATGCCGTTCCCTTTCAGATTATATAATATACTTTCACTAAAAATCAAGAATGTTATAACATTAATCCATTAACTCACATTTAATAGATTTCCGTAAATTTTATAATGAAAATATTACTGGATGCAAGTAAAATGATGTTATCAAAATGCGGCAGTAATAATTATTAATTAGTAATTTATATTATGTCCCTATAGTAGGCAAAAATTTTTTGAAAGCATAAATTACTCAAATAAATTATTTAAAAAATGTTTTTTACGTTCGAGTGCCAACCTTATCATTTTTTCTAGTATTTTACAATTGTGTGAGTGTTTTGAGTTCTTAATGGTTAATAAGCAGATTAAATTTAAGTCCAAATGAAAATTTGTAAGAAATATGAATTTTTTTTCTGGACCTCGTTAAAAATTTTTAAAAGTATCCTAAAATTACTTGCCGACCCTTGATCTAGATCCTCTAGATACGTCTCTTTGTCTTTTCATTTGTTGTAATTAAAAAAGGAGAAAAGGACAAAACAGCTCTAGGCCAACTAGATGTTAATAGCGAACGCCACTATTGAGATTGAGTAAATGAGAATAAGGGTCAAGTCAATATCAGCGTTACCAATTGGA